AAAGCTATCACGAAACTGAATCTGGGACACATCGATAAATTCGAAATAAACATTAAGAAAATTAGCCGTCGGGGCTCACGTTCTCCAGACAACGCAGAATTTGGTCATTTCACGTTGTTTTTTTGCAGAGGATGGGCAAAGAAATATATCAAGGATTATAACGCACGTGCACAGCCATTGTTCTGCTCATTAAACCTTTTGTTTCGCGACGTTGCCGTTGCCGAGATGAGAAAAACGGGAGATAAACTTAGATGTGCCTCTTTCCTCATTAACGTAATATTCAAAGGAGTTTTCGCTGCAAGACACAAATTCTGTTCAGCTCACGCAGAATGATATCAGTGGAGTCTGTATTCGTGGTGTTAATTTTGTTAGTGCAGTGCTTAACTTAAACTCGTAAAAGCCATTAACAGTTGACATTTAAAGGTATTGGTTGGCCATTATTATGCCAGAAAAATCCACTAACTTTGAGCTGTATGTCCAATATTCTATTGCACTACTCGTATTTTTGATAACTTTAGTGATCCGGCTGTCTAAGGCTATTACGTTAAATATTCTTCATTTTACATCAAAAGTTATCATGTGATTCTTAGTGAACTCAGCTAATGTGGCGCAAACATGTGATTTTGCAGGCTTTGTATTGTAGACCTACCGGCTGGTATTTCTCTAATTTTAATTCGTGGTTTGAGAATAACATTTACAATTGTTATTCTAGATCAGGTGAAATGACAAACGTGAAGCAGTTTGTTTCGTAAAATAACTTGAGAGCCGTTAAAAGGTTCTCAGTCATCGGATAAATTTTCGACAATTACTCAACTATCAATTTACATTTCAGCCCATTTGTAAGCTGTCTTTAAATGTCGCGGATCCCAACACACCGAAGCAATTGCTGAAAGCCAAATATTTGTGACGAAAGAACGACGCAAATGTTATTAATTATGGAAAAAAAAATTGAGAATTAAAATTAACTAGCCCGAATTTATGGCGGACTTTCACCCTTTCATTTTCTTGTCGTTAAGTGTTATGGTAATTCTGTGGTTTGGAAATTTATCAAAAGCAACACCTGTATTCGTAATGACAGCAAAGATAAGTCTAAAGTTTGAATTTATATGCAACTCGGGTAACTATAAACGTCATGTTCATATTTGGCTTTCTGTTTCTAAGAAACCGTCAATTGTAAGACACATGGAAAATATTGCGGGTTTTTTTTTAAACTCCCTTGTCACTTAGTTACCATTACTTAGTTACGCCAACTGTCACCATCGGGGAAAATGTAAATATCTAACAAGCAATTTAATCAAATACTTCAAATATATAGACTTGACCTACAGGTAAAAAATAAACTCGATAAAAGCTATTTTGCATATGCATCGGAAAACTCAAATGCTGTGCCATAATATACACAAATGCACATTGTATTATCTCGAGGAAGATGGAAGATAGAAAATGAATTCAATTAATTTACGATGCCTCTTTACTATTCATCGCACCTCTTAAAATAAAGGTTTGGCTGATGACAATTACGCTACTTGGGTTTCAATGATGTCATGATCAACCACTGTTGATGAAGACAAGTTAAGCCCAGCAGATCAGCGGAAAAACATGGAAAATCACGATTCTCTGGAAACGTTGGTTGTCGTAAACTGTGTTTTTAACGCTCCCCTGATACTCATATCCATCACTGGCAACGCTTTGGTGTTGGCCGCCATCATTAGAACTCCTTCAATTCGTTCAACTTCAGTGATAATGCTCTGTAGTCTCGCTGTGTCAGATCTTCTGGTTGGCTTCGTTGCGCAGCCATTCTTCATTGCCAACGAGCTAACAGCTTCTCGTTACATAGCAAGCATATCTGAAATAATGGCATTTGTTCTGTGTGGAGCTTCGCTTTGTACAATGACGGCAATAAGTGTGGAAAGATTCATAGCGCTTCGTTATCCTATGAAATACCAAGCTGCTGTGACAACGAAATGGCGAGTAATATACGTCTCGATAATTATCATATGGGTATGCAACATCCTATTTGCTGTTTTCTACTTTTGGCAGTGGACCACGTATTTTAGTGTAATGGCTGTTGGTATTTGCCTTGGTTTTTTCATTTCAACGTTCTCCTACATCAAAATTTACATTGTTGTTCGGCGACATCAAGCTCAGATTCAAACTCAACAGCAGGCTGCACAGCAAAATTCAACTTGTGCTGGAAATAACTTTAACATGGGGGCTGTGCGGATGAAAAGAAGCGCTGTGAACACATTTACATTTTATGTGGCTATGATCCTGTGCTATTTTCCGATAATCATTTCTTTAAGTCTCTCTAGCATTTCCTACGAAAACTGGTCGAAAGTTTGGCATCTGGCCGACACTGTGGCGTTTCTGAACTCTTCTATCAACCCAATTTTGTATTGCTGGCGTCTTCGAGAGCTTAGAACAGCAGTTTATAAGACCTTAAAAGATATTCTTTGTACACAAACAGCTCAAGGCTAGCGTCCTCATTTTGATAAGAAAACTCTCTTTGTATAGAT